AAGTCTTACCAGTATCTTGTGGAGAGCATCCGGCGCTTCCCCCCCCAAGGAGGAGCTGAAGGCAATGATAGAAGATGTTTTTAAAAGTGGATTATCAGAACTTGAACTCCGGCATTGTTGCCATTCACTCAGGTTTCAAACTGTGAGTCTGCTATGTAGTGAAACACAGCAAGTATGATTTTCCTGAGGGATCTGAAAGCTCTGGAACTGTAACGTGTGCAGCAGATATTTGCTCAGCAGTCAGATCCAGAAGGACATCGGTTACTCTTTTTCCCCTCAAGAGACCCGAGGGTGAAGTGAATTCTGTGGCCAGTTTCTTACCCTTGAATTTCCCTTCCAAATGCATAAAGGATGTGGACAAAACTGAGCAGTGCCAATGAATGGGGCAGCTTCAGTCACACGTGCTGTGGATACAAACAGTATAGTCTTCAAATAAGATTCCTCCTTTCTCTCACTGAGGTTCAAGGAGGCTCCTGTAGCAACGAGAAGTAACTTGGATTTATTACATTTGTATTAAGCTCTGATTGTCTTTCAGCCATACGGACCTCAATGGACTTTTCTGTGTTCCCTGTTGGCAGAACGCCGCTGCAAAACAGGAGTTGTCTCTAGGGCTTCCTCAGTGCATCCTTTGGCAGCGTCGGCCATCAGGGCGAGCTGGTTGGGAGATGTGAGCACAAGGGGCATTTTGCAGAAGCAACTTGCAAGTCTTGCCCCGTGGCTCCACTCCACTGGACTCACCTTCCTTTGCTCACCTAAGCTGGGAACAGCCTTCTTGTAAGGATCTGAGGTCATTGCTTGGAAGACATGGAAAGTTGAGATGGGTCCAAAACATTCTTGTGTTCCTACGGTTCCTGGGCTCCAGTTGAGGTGTGCCAGTACAGAGTGGCAATCACAGGTTGGGAGGCGTGGGGGGCCAGGTCTCATCCTTACCCAGAGTGAAGCCCAGCTGCTCCAACAGGGATGGAACTGGGATGCATTGTGCTTTACTTGCTGATGGCCTCGAGCTGTGGAGATGCAGCTGCACCAAGCACTGACCAGCTCTGCCTGGTGGCAGCTGGCGGAGGAGGCTCTGCGTTCTGCTGAAAGCATCCCCAAAACGTTTGAGGTGAGAAGGAAACCCTTTTAACCGGAGTGCTGGAGTTCTCAGCCTGGACCTGATCATTAGTTTTTCTGACCCCTACAGGAAAGAAACAGCACTGGTGCAAAGCAGAGCCAAGAGCTCAGGGCTGGGCCTGCAGGTGTTGGCTCCAGCTCTTCAGCTCTGTGATAGAATCACAGAATCGCTGAGGTTGGAGAAGAACCCCAAGATCCCCACGTCCAACCCCATCCCACCATGCCCACCAACCGTGTCCCCAGGTGCCACATCTCCACGGCTCTGGAGCACCTCCAGGGACGGAGAGCCCCCACTGCCCAGTGCAGCTGCCACTGCATCGCCACTCACCGAGAAGAAACAGTTCCTGATGTCCAACCTGAAGGAGGTCTGAGCCCTTCCTGGCGCCTCATCAACACTGCCTCAAGAGAATGCAGCTTAAAGAAAAACCTATCAGAGGAGCCTGGGACAATCTTTGAGCCTGGAGGAGTGGTTCTTAAGTTCGGAATCGGCTTGTTTCAGCACAGCAGGGAAAAGGAAGTTTGTCAGATTCTGCACCTCTGCTCAGACCTCTGCCTGTGCAGGATTGCTTCCAAGGCTTGAGGCGTCACCCCAACGGATAAAGGTGCTCCTGTGAGCTCTGTCTGGTGTTTAATAACTCCAGGAGACTCGGCCAAGTTCGGTCTGTGTATCCCTTGGGTTCCAGCCTGTTCCTCTTTCTGTTCCTCCTGTTTGTCCCTGTCCAACCCCAGCAATGAAACACGTTTTTCTGAGTCTCCTGACTGAGATTTCAATGCTTGGACAAAAGCGGCAACCAATCCCTGAGTGACACCGCGCACGGATGCACCTTATTATAGCTCTGCATTCCACCCATGTTTTATTTGGCCCCGGACCTCAGATTTCAGGTCTTCAATGTATGGAATGCTGTTCTCTGTCCGGTTCCTGCTGGTGGTCTGTGAAAGTGCAAAGTGGGAGAATCCTGAGGATCGCTGATCCCAGGAGCAGGAAGAGATCGAGGCTGAAGTTTCTTTCAGTGTATTTGGGAAGACTCCATCCACATAACCTTTATTCCAGGTAAATGGTTCAACTTCCCCTATGAAAACTCCAATTTGACGGTGGTTTCCTACACACCCTCTTATGTGGGTCCTCAGTTTTCCTGCTGTGGCAGTGACAGGGCTGTGTGCTGCTAACACAGCAGTGGGTGTCCTCATCATTCTGAAAGAGGATGCCAGCAAAAAAGGAGGAGGAAGTCCTTCACACGGAGGGGGTGAAGCTGTGGCACTGCTGCTCAGAGAAGAGTGGATGACCATCCCTGGAGGTGCCCAAGGATGGGACACAGGGCCCTGGGCTGAGCTGGTGGGGACACGCAGCCCGTGATCTTTAAGGTCCCTTTTCAACTTCAATCCATCAGCCATTCTCCTGGAAACTGCTGATGCATACAGAGAACAGAGGGGGTGGTTCTTAGAATCATCAAATATTCCCACCTGGAAGGGATCCCCGAGAATCACTGAATCCAACTCCTGGCCCCACACAGCACCATCCAAACCCAGTGTCTAAGGGAGGTGACCCAATGCTCCTCGACCCCCAGCAGCTCGGGGCTGTGCCCACCGCCCTGAGGAGCTGCTCCATGCCCTCCGGGGAAGAACTTTTTCCTGATGTCCAACCTGACCCTCACCTGGTTGTTGACAGCACAGCTTCCCTCAGGACAGAATCACAGAATGGCCCGGGTTGGAAGGGACCCCAAGGATCACGAAGCTCCAACCCCCACCACAGCAGGGCCAACCTGCTGCCTCTCTGGGCAGCTGTTCCAGCACCTCACTGCTCTCATAGCAAAGAACTTCCCCTGACATCCAACCTTAATCTGCCCTCTCTCAACTTCAACCCATTTCCCCAGCTGCCCAGAGAGGCTGTGACGCCCCGTCCATCCCTGGAGGTGTTCGAGGCCAGGATGGATGGGGCCCTGGGCAGCCTGGGCTGCTGTGAAATGGGGAGGTTGGTGGCCCTGCTGTTGGTGGGGGCTTCGTGATCCTTGGGGTCCCTTCCAACCCGGGCCATTCTGCGATTCCCCCGAGCATCCTCTGCCAGCGCACGTTACCGCTCTTTCCAACAAGGAATCGTTCCCGTCTCCATTCCGAACGTTCCCAGCACCACTCGAGACCGTCGCCAGCAGCTCCCGGGGCGCAGCGCGGCTTCCCGTCGCCCCGCCGCCTTTCGGTGCCGCACCGACCGCTCCGCTCCTCTCCGCTCCGCACTCCGTTTCCCGACGCCGCCCGCGGGGGGCGGGCCGAGCAGCGTCCCATCGGCGGCGGTGCTCTCGCACGGCGGTGCCGCGGTGCCGCCCGGCCCTTCCCCGCTCGGCGCCGCCCCCTCCGCACGGCACATCCGGGCCCTCCCCCCCCAACCCCGGGCGGCCCTTCCCGGCGCGGCTCTCCCGGTTTCTCCCCCCTCCCCTCTCCCCTCCCCGGACCGATCCGGGCCGCGATGCTGCGCTGCGTCCCGCCGCTCTGGCGCTGCAACCGGCACGTGGAGGCGCTGGACCGGCGGCACTGCTCGCTGCAGGCCGTGCCCGAGGAGATCTACCGCTACAGCCGCTCGCTGGAGGAGCTGCTGCTGGACGCCAACCAGCTCCGCGAGCTGCCCAAGGTGAGGCCTCGGCCCGGCCCCGCCTCGGCCCCGGCACCGCGGCCCGGCGCTCCGCTCCCTTCCCCCGCCCGTCGGCGCGGCCTTCGCGGCGCTCCCGGCGGAGCTCCGGGCCTGGATCGCCCCGCGGGCTGCGGCCCCGAAGCCGCCCGGAGCCGCGAGCGGGGCCGGCTGCGAGATCGGGAGCTTCGGCGCTTCGGCGCCGGGCGGGGGCGGCGCGAACGGAAGGGTTCGTTTCGGTCCGCGGGTCGTAGCGGGCAGGGAGGAAGTTTGTTGTTATTTATTGCCGTGTGCGCCGCTCGGCTTCGGAGTGCAGAAAACGCACCGGGAGCCCGCAGTGCGTCCGGAGAAAGGCGGCGGGGCTGAGCGGGGCCGGCGTGGGGCGGAGCGGGGCTCGGGGAGACCTCGGTGCTCCCTGCGTGCGGGCCGTGAGCGGGGCTGGAGCGAGTGGCGGGGGGGGCAGCCGCCGCTCCCGGGGATCAGCGATAGGACAGGAGGTGATGGGCCCACGTTGGGAGTTCAGGTCGGATATTATGTTTCTTCTTAGTAGGGGTGGTGGTGCGGCGGCACAGCTGCACGGGGAGGTGGGGGAATCTCCGTCCCTGGAGGTGTTTAAGAGCCGTGGAGATGTGGCGCGTGGGGACGCGGTCAGCGGGCGCGGTGGGGTGGGTTGGGGTTGGACCGGTGATTCCCTGCGTGTGGCAGGGGGTTGGAGATTAATGACCCTTAAGGTCCCTGCCAACCCTGGCCATTCTGTGATCTCGGTGGGGTGGGTTGGGGTTGGGCTGCTGATCTCGGAGGTCTTTTCTGACCTTCGTGATTCTGTGGTCCTTCCCTAATTCCGATCCACCGCAGCACTCTGCACAGGTGTCGCTGAGGTAAATTGTTTGTTGTGTCGGCACAAACGATGCAGATCTGATGGTGGAGGTCTGTAGGTGTCTGTGGGCAGGAACCCGGGTGTCTCCCGTTCCCGTAGTTTCCTTCATAGAATCACAGAGCCACAGAATCCCTGGGCTGGAAGGGACCCCCCTGCTGTGGCCTGGCTGCCCCCCAGCAGCTCGCCCCATCCGTGGCCTTGGGCAGCTCCAGGGATGGCCCCCCGTGTTTCTGGGCAGTGGTGCTGGGGCCTCACCGCCTCTCGGGAAAGGATTTCCCTCTCACATCTCACTCCAATCTCCCCTATTAACTTAAAAGCCGTTCCTATTGCTGTCAGTCCATGTAAAAGGTCGGTCCCGCTCCTGCTCAGAATCTCCCTTCAAGTACTGGGCGGCTGCAGTGATGTCTCCCTGGAGCTTCCTGTTCTCCAGGCCAAACGAGCCTCACTCCCTCAGCCTTTCTCCATGCAGAGGTGCTCTGGTCCTCTGAGCATCGTTGTGGATCTTTGTGATGATGGTTTTTGTGACGTTCCACAGGGAGAGCTCTGAACACAGCCGTGCTCCTTTGTGCTGAAGTGGTGCTGAGCAGTGTGGGACGCAGCGAGTCGAGCTGGACTGTGAGCCTGTGCTCTCAGGAGGGAGAGAACCTCGGGACAGGAGTGGAAGGAATTCTGGAAGGAATTCTTCACGCACCCTTGGTGATTGTACCTTTCTTCAAGAGGTGGTTAAGTGTGCTGGAGAAAGGGAGTGTGTCACTGCAGACTGTTTGGATAGGAGCTCCTAGGAGTAAATGTGAGCCAAGTTGCCTTTTTATTGAAATTATCGAGGGGAAAACGTAACGATGGTGTTGTTCTAAAGTGTCTTGTTGGGCTTCTCTTGTTTCCCCATCCTTGGAAGCACCCAGGGCTGTGGCTGGAGCCCTGGGAAGCCCAACGTGGTGGGGAGCACCCAGGCCATGGTTGGAAGTGGGTGATCTTTAAGGTCCCTTTCAACCCAACTTTTTCATGGTTCTGTGAGCTTTAAGGTCCTTTCCAAGCCAACCGTTCGATTCATTCTCTGAACTACTGGCGTGTTCTTATTGCCAGCAAGACTGAAAGAAAAAAGGATCTGGGGAAAAAAAAAAAAAAAAAAAAAGCCCAAAGCCTTGCTTTTAATTCAGTCCGCAGCGATGCGTTTCATTTTTGCTCCGCTGAACCATGAGCGCATCCCTGTCTGTATGGATTCTGCTGCAGTGGAGGCTCTTCTCTGTGCCTCCCTGCTCGCTCTTGTTGGAGGCACCCTGAGCCAGTCCGGGTCAGGGATGGAGCAGTGGCTCTTCCTCTGCTGGCTCTCTCCCATCGTGTCTGTAGGGATGAAACAGAGATGTTTCGGAGGCTGGTGCTGCAGACAGGTTGGGGCTGATGATGAGCGTCCTCTTGCAGAGGAGGCCCATTGCAACACGTCTCAATGAACCTGCTGATCCTCGCTGCTCCTCGCCCTGTGAGCAGTCACAGCCTTAGCTTGGTTCACGTAGAGCTGTTTGGACTTCTGCCTGAGCTGCAGACGCTGTTTTTTTCTCAGCTTTCAAGAGCATCTTTTGGATGTGAATGAGAAATGTGAATGAGAAATGTGAATTTTATGCCGACATTTGGCTTGTTCTGCAGTCAGGAGGGTCCGATCCTGCCCACTTTACATCTGTCCTCCCCTCCGTGCCTCCTTTCTGCTCTCACTCTGACTGTACTGGTGGATGCAGTTGCTGAACTCCGGGTTTTACGTCTGCTCTGCAGCATCAGCACTGGTGCTGTAACCTGTCCCAGCATCGTGGCTGCCTTGGTGGCAATGGAACGTCCTCAGTTTTTAGACTTCTCTGGTGAGGAGTTATCAGAAAAGCAACGGAAAAGAGGGGAAAAAAAAAAAAAAGAGGCTGTTGTCCTATAAATGGTGCTTGTAGCCCTGCAGTCCCAAAAGTGGTGGGAGAGTCAGAAGAGGTGCAGGGAGCAGAAAGGAGCTTGGTGGGAGGTGTGCAGCAGCTTTTGCACAAGGCAAATCAAGTTTTGCTCAAAATTTACGTAGGCTTAGAAGGGAAATAGGCCTGTTCATGAACGAGTGTGTGTAAAGGCACTGCCTGTGGCTGAGGTGAGGCTCTGCTGCCTATCCTGGCAGAGGCCTGGAAGAGAAGTGCTGTGCTGGGCTTTGTGTGGTCGCGCTCTTCTGTACGAGTAGAGGTGAGGGTCAGAGGTGCGCAGCTGGGAAACGGGCTTTGCACCTCCCATGCTGCCCAAGGAGCTGCTGGGGCTGCCGTGTGGGGAGGAGGGAGCAGAAATGGTGTTTCCCACTGCAGCCACCCCAGCAGATCTCCTGCCGTGGAGCCGCCGATGTCGCGTGGCGCAGATGGAGCTGCTGCGCTCCGGCAGAGCAGGGATGTGCTGGTACAGAACCACCCTTGGGCTGGCACAGGGGGTCGTGATGTGAGCAGGGAGAGCTGCTCTCCTGGGTGCCAGGCAGTGTTCCTACACACACATCTCGTGCAGGAGGACGTTGCTGCGGGATACGGCTGCTGTGTGGGCACAAACAGATCCTCCAGCAGCGTTACGTAGGGCGGTCAATTACTGAAGTGTGTGTGTAGGGGAGGGATAGGAGGGTAACAAATGGGGATCACGTAGAAAAACACGAATGACAGTACGCAGTCATTGTTAGCACGCCCAGCCAGAGCAGGTTTGTTTTCAAGGGTGCAAAGCAGGATTTTGGGGGAAGGCAGCGGTGGTGGATTTGAAGTGAAGGAATAGAGGGGTGGCATGGTTTTCTTCTGGACCAGCACTTCCCACATCCCCTTCTGATGCTGTTTAGCCCTGGATCCGATCAGAGGATGTGTCAGCCTCTGGCGTTGCTGAATGACAAGGCTGTGCTTCCTTGGACTCTTCCTTCCTTGGCTGGAGAGGTGAATGCATGTTTCTCTCCTCCCAGCAGTGCTCAATTGCCTGCTGCCTGCTGCTGCTCCTTTTTATTTGTCCCACATGGAATGTTGTCTGTGCCGAGTCTGGGTTTCTCACTGTGGTGGCTGAACTCTGCTTGCTTGAAGTGCTGGATGAAATCAATGCTGGGAGCATCTGCTGCCTTGCGGCGGGGATTTGCTGCCAGGTGATACGGGTGGTTAAATGGAAGGTGATCTTATTTGAGAAGTTCCCCCTGCTCTTCGCTGGGTGCTTGAGATCCAGAGATCTGCCTTGCTGGCCTAGTCCGCAACATGGAGTTTGGAGGTGCTGATCTCACCAGAAAGGACTGAATCATAGAATTCCAATTGGAAGGGACCCATAGGGAGCACCCGACATGAAGGTGGTGTGGCATTTGGACCGCGGAGGTGGTGGATGGAGCAGAGTGTGGTCGGTGGGGATCTGCTCTCAGAGCCTGGATGTGGACTCGGGGATCCTTGTGGGTCTGTGCCAACGGGTGACATTCTGTGATTCATTCCTTTCTGATGGGGTTGGCATCTCAGAACTGCTTAGCGTGGGCTGTGTGGGTCCGGTGCCTTCTGCTGAGGAGCGCTCAGGTTTGGGGCATGGGGAGGCACCGGGGAGGTCAGGAGACACCTGGGAGGAGCGGAGATTGGGACCTGGTGGAGGAGGAGGAGGAGGAGGAGGTGGAGCTGAGCAGGGACTGCAGATAATGAGCCGGGTGGTGGGCTGGGAGGAGGGCTGGGAGGAGGCCTGGTGTCGGCAGCAGCATGCAGCGGGACGTGGGGACCGGGGGCTGCAGGGACACCTGGACAGCAAGAGCTGTGAGTTGGGGATGGGAAAGAGGACGAACGTGGCTGATCGGAGCCCAGGGCTGATGGGATCCCGAGGGTTCTGAGCAGTGGTGGATGTGGAAAGGTGCGTCTGATTGAGGGGATGCGGTTTCCCCACTTTGCTCCGTCCTCACCAAAAACTCCCTGGTCAGCTGTGTGGATGTTTTGTGTCCTGCTGCGTGGCGAGCTGTTTCCTTCTCACGCTGAAGAGCAGAAGAGGTGCACGCCTGGCTGGAGCAGCCCGGAGGAGGGCAGCCCTGCAGACCCCGTCTTGTTGCTGTTTGCACGGTCTCAGCCTCGGCTGGCAGAGGGCTCCGGGCTCCTCCTGCTGGGCTGCAGTTGGCCCAGGGTGAGAGCATCGCTGC